TAGAAAATGAAGGCTAATCATGTTTTGGGTGTACTATTCCTTTAATGACAGACAGTGACCTGGCAAAGTACATCCCCAAAGTTGGAGAGAGAGTCTCCACGGAGGCCTTCTGCAGACAAGCCACACTATCTAAAACATCTACATCCAGGAAAGAATCCAGACTTTTAAGACTAAAACAAAGACTGTCTGGAACTGAGGGAATACTTAAAAAAATATATTCTAAGTGGGCAGGGAATACAAATGCCAAAGGTAAAAAGAGACAAATTGAGGTTGGTTGGAGGGATTTTGATGAGGAAGAGGAAAGATACAAACAAGTGAAGTCTGTAAATGGTAAAGGAACAATTGATAAATAAGATACTGTGGCAGATACCATAGTTTTGTCTGAAAATGTTTTTTTTTCCCCGAAAGGTGGTTCCAAAAATACCAAAAGTTCTTCACACTATTCAACTCATATTGAAAGCTCACAGATACATATCAAGATGTAACTACAGTAGATAAGCTGTATAGTAAAAGCAAAGTCAAAATGCTTAGACTTTATCTATGCACCACAAAAAAACAAACAGAACCAAAAAGCAGAACAACAGCCTGCAACAGGATAGGATGGTGATCTTGCAACAGGCCAGTCCTCGGTGGTATGTCTCAGTGACAATGAACAGAATCAGGCTGCTGAGGATATGTTGGTGGAACACCGAAATACAAAATTAACCAGACACAATGTGATAAATGGTGGAGCTTCCACAAGTAGAGATTGGGGATTGAATGAAACATTACCATGAGATTGCCTGTTAACCCTGGGCGAAAACAAAGATTCTGATACAGTTGTTATTTTGTTGGGTAAGGACAGGTTGAAGGTAACGGAAGATGAAGCAAATCTGTAAATAATCAATCCTGAAATGGAAGATGGACATTTTCAAACTCTATATCAGTCACACCCTGTTCCAATGCTTGCAGCGGAGGCATATATTTCCCATGCACTTCCTGAACCCCAGTCTGCTCCTGTAACACTGGTTGTAAGACGAGTTCACTGTCTCATTGACTTCATCAATGCCTTCAAGGACCCAAAAATGATGGCATCTGAGGTTTACATCAAAATGCATTTGCAAAATGGAGAGACTGAAAGGGCGGAAGGTGGTAATGTTTTGAGAGACTGTCTGAATGTTTCTATGATAGCTGCACACTGGGAGTGGAAATGAAAGTTCCGTTCATAAGGCATAACTTTCAGCTGGAGTAATGGCTGGCTGTTGCAGGATGGAAAGAGGCACGTTACTTTACAGGGAAACTTGCAATACCATTCCAGGATGAGGTGCTGTACATCTCAGCATTCAGTAGTTTAAAGGACTCCCTTTGGCTCTACGTATCACATGAGGAAAGAGCTGTTCTCCTGAAAGCTTTGGAGGACTTTGATTCTGTGAGCGAAGCTGAATTGCTAGATGTACTTCATGCACATGAATGCCTACCAAGTCCCTTCCAAGTATTAATTCAGGCCCCAATGTATGTATTTGAGTGTTGTTGTCCTATTATGCTTTCTGTAGTTACCACCAGAAGGACTGCATCATTTCATTGCAAAAAAGCAAAAAAAAAAAAAAACAACAACTGCAAAAACAGTGAAGGAACTTCTTATCTTTCTAGAGGTATTGACAGCAGCCCAGTCAACAGTTTTATCATCACTT